AAGAGCGCAGAGATGATGGCAGATGGCCTAACGAAGGCACTTGCTCAGGAGCAGTTTGTCAGATTCAGGGAGCAGATAGGCCTGGTCGACGTGAGCGAGAGGCTCGCAGAGCGCAGGGAAAGGGAAGAGAAAGAGGACTTGGAAGCAGAGGGATAGAAGCAGTGGAGGGCATTCGAAGTGGTTATTCCAGCCTCCCCAGCGCAGACATCGCGCTGGCTCGGCTGAGGGGGTGTGTTGGATTTGGCAGGTGGTCAGAGAGGGCAGTTCAGGGGTGACCAATGGCTTGGCACCAGGATTCTCAGGATCAGGAACAGGCAGGGAACTTCTGAAAGAACACAGACAGGAACATCGATCATCAATTGTGTGGTTGCCCATCCTTTTGGTACCCAACCACTACGGTGCGGCACATTCGTGGCTGTTGGCTTTCCAACAGGTTGAGAGAGCTCTATGAGCACAGCATTGTCTTGTTGAAAGACAAATTCGCAGCCGTGAGACTCCCAGAACTGCTGTACAAGTGGAAGTATAAGTTGTTGATATTTCTCGGCATTTATACCCCCGTATCCCTTCTCCTAGAAGAACCCGGGTCCCTTATACCGCCCAGCGAAGCAGCCCCAAGCCCATTCATTCTTGGCCTATTTCCTTATGTAACGGTCCCAGGAGTATATTGCAACTAGCTGGTGACGACTCTACGAGTTTGTCTCGAATGGAGAGAGAAGAAGAAAAAGAGTGAAACACTATGCAAGATACCTGCCGTCTTATCCTCCACATCCTTGGCCTGTGCGCCGATATCGAACAAGATAGAAGTCCACCGAATCTCGATTCTTGGCCGAGAGTTTGCCGAGGCCTTTACGGGCCAAGCCCGTTACACCTTACTTCTCTGCTCTCTTTTCTGCGGATGCTCGTGGGTTAGTAGTATCAAAGGTAAGCCGGCTTGAAGGCCATTTTCCAAGTGTTCAACGTCCTATCCTCGGCAGTTGAAGCGTGCTTACTCGGCGAGTCGCGAGGTGGCTGGGGTTGGTCGGTAATGATGGTGGGTCAGGATGTGTCCGTCGTCTGGATGACTTGCACCTAGACAGCCTGTGGCGATGGCAAACCGTATAGTCGCCCGCACCGCTTGCATGTTCGGGGACCAGTTCTTGTCATCCGAGGGCGACTTTCCTCCTAAGTAGAAGGAGAGCTTGCCCCTGTGACAGCTGTACATTGGAGCATCTCCGTACGATGTTCGTCCCATTGCTTGCATTTAAAGTGGTCCACTGTCTCTCTCGCTTTCCCGCACGCGCACTGGTCTGATGGTGCTGCTTCGATGCGATGCAGGTAGCGTTGAGCTTCGCTATGCCTGTCCTGAGGTAGAGACCGATAACAGGGTCCAGATCTTTTACGTAGAAAAATTGTCCGCACAGGCCAATTCTCAGGCTGGTTGTTGCTTACACAGTGCGCAGCAACGCATCTTTGTAAATCGACCAGTAGGCTACGAACTAGCTGCAGCCGCGACATCGCGGCACAAAACCCGCTAGCCGTTTTCGGCGCCAACAGACCTGAGCAAGCAGTCAAGGATGGAAATCACATCTGCATCAGTGGTGACAAACATCTTTCCGGAAACGGAGAACATCTAGCTGCGCCACTTGGCTACGATGGCTGAGGACGATCGCGTGTCTCGATGGTCTGGGCCAAGGACTCGCTGCTGAGCCTTGGCACAGGCCTCCATCAATGCTAATGCATCTGTGTCTCGGCCTTGATCTTTCCAAATAAACGCCAAGTTGGCCATGCTCGTCAGCGTGTCTGGGTGGTCGGCCCCGAGCTTGGCCTTAAAAGTCTCCATCACCGGCACAAAGAGCGTCTCGGCATCCTCCCACCGGCCCTGCTTCAAGAATGTTGACGCCAAGTTGGCCATGCTCCTCAGTGTGTCCGGATGGTCGACTCCGAGCTTGATCTTGCTCGCCTCCAGCACTTGCACCTCCAACTTCTCGGCCTCCTCCCACCGGTACTGTTTCCCGTATATAGTCGCCAGGTTGGCCATACTCTTCAACGTGTCTAGGTGGTCGACCCCTAGCTTGATCCGGCTCGCCTCCAGTACCTGTTCTAGCAGCTTTTTGGCCTCCTCCAACCTGTCCTGATACAAAAACGTTGCCGCCAAGTCGCCCATGATACCCAGTGTACACGGGTGGTCGACCCCAAACTCGGTCTTGAAAGTCTCCATCACCTGCACAAAACGCTTCTCGGCCTCCTCCCACCGGCCTTGGGCGTTAAGGACTCTCGCAAACATCGACATGCATGATAGAGTCGCTAAACTCTCTTTTCCCAGCATCTTCCCACAAGCCTCCTCCGCCTTGCGTAGCATCGGCTCTGCTATATCGTATCTCCCTTGTGACCACGCATACCATCCGCCGTTATACAAAAGCTCCGCCCATGTTTCAATCATCTCTCCACTCGGCCGGTAACCAAGGACTACTTGGACGTGTGCGAAGAGACCCCGACACGTCGCCCAGTTCTCGTACTCCCCTGTTGGGAATGACGCTGCCATCCGTTCGATGTATTGCTGCTTGAACGTCTCCTGCTGCCCAAATGCTTCTAGCCACCTCCTCGTCGATAGCTGTACGAGCCCGTGCATCTCAAACTCGTCTCCTGCTTCGTCCACGGCGATAAGACAGTAGTCCCTTAGCATCGCAATATCGTCTTCGAATCCGCCGTCTATATCGTTATCTGTGCCATCATCTATGTAACTGTCTGTGGCACTACAGTCGTCGTTCGAAACCCCGTCACCGGCCTTGTCGAAACCTTTTGCTTGCATCGCCTCTTTGGCGTTTCTAGAAGGTCTTAGAACCCATATATTATTCCTACACCGCTGTGCCCTTGGGCTTGCCGGACCTTCAACAACTTGCTATACAGGAAAACCGCGCCCTCGTGGGCCGGGTGAAAAACCCATATCGACTTAGAACCCATATAGGAATACCTTGTCGGTCAAAAAAGCTCATAAGCGATAAGAGATCCGCCGCAGACCGCCGCTTGGACCGAACATGCTTGAAGGATATCTGCCATGTCGTAAGAATCGCGTTTGACGCACCTCCGTCCCGCCGTAGGTCCCCAGCATCGTGCTCTAAAAGCCTGCTCCTTTTACGCTCACCCTCCCGGAGCTCAGCAAGGTACTTCTCCGGTGAGCTTAGCGGCGCCCTCGCCTGTATATAGGCGGCGGCCTGGCTGATGGCCAGCGGAACAAGGTCGAGCGCCTGTACGAGATCGGCCGCCACATCTGTATCCGGGAACAATCCCAGCTTCTTCTCTAGGAGCGTGAGGGCGTCAATCTGCGCCATCGGTCCAACTTCGATCATGTTGTGTCGGCGCCCGGTCAGCCTGAAAGCCAGGTCTTTATCGCGTGTTGTGATCATAACTGATCCGTTTTGGCTCTGTGGTAGGTACGTTGCAAATGGTCGGTCGTTGCATATATCGTCGCCCGTCGGGCCGTAGAGTACACCGGCGTCGTCAGCACTGTCGAGGACCAAGATCCATCTACCGTTCCGCTCATTGCAAAGCCAGCCGTACACCAGCTGCCGGATGTTGGCCTTGGGTTGGTTCCGGCCGGGCAACTTGACGGCGTCGGCAATCGTCCTGAAGCCCTCTTCGACGCGCGCCTGCGTACCCGCATGGACCCAGAACACCCACGTGTCAGGCTGCCCCGCGGCAATCCGGTGAGCATATTCGATGGCCAGTTGTGATTTGCCGACACCACCAAGGCCTACGAGAGCCACGCGGGCGGCCGGCTCGGAACATCGCTGGTCGATCTGGTCGAGAATGTCTCCACGGTTGACAAAATCGGGATCGCGGGAGAAGGGGATAATCGCAAAGGGGGCGGGCGGTGATTCGGGTCGTTCTGACGACGTCAGCGGGGTCGACCATACCGGGGGACGGCCCTATCTTTACCTGGCGGCAGGTGGAATTCCGTGTTGATTGACCCATAATTCGGCCCCACCTGGAAACCCTGGTTCCTGGGTCCGAAAGACGTGGACACCATTTGTGCCATTGTTGGCGATCCCTCATGAACAACAGTGGATTTCACCATGTGCTCCAACAGTTTCAGCGCAGGCCATGGGCGGCTTCCGAAGGCCTGGATGAAGCGGCCCAACGGTTGCGGCCCAATTGCACGTGATCACATGGCTCAGCCGCAAGAAACTCAGACCGCAATCGACAGTCTAGGAGACGACGAACGCCTATAGCCCTCCCCAATTGTTGAAACGTTCACGATGGACCCGTTGAGCATTACAGCTGCGATCGTGGGCATTACTGCTCCGACAGTACACTGTATACGCCTTCTCTCGGAGGACATCCAGAAGATCGTCGACGCGCCCGAAACCCTCAAGTCACTCAGGAATGATCTGCTCTCCGTGGACCAGGCCCTTGCTTCACTTCACACTGTATCCGATGAGCAATGGAGATCCCTTGGTGAGACTGTGGTCAGCCAGTCGAAAGCTGCGACTGCCTCATGCGCAGAGTCATGCGACAGGTTCAGGACCGCCCTCAGTCGCTGGACCCGGCACAGCGAGGATGGGAAGCTCTCTTTGCGGGATCGCACAATGGTTGGCTTCTTCAAACAGGGCTACGTAAAGTCCATGTCGGAGCAGCTCCACCACTGCAAGATCACTCTCAGTTCAGTCGTCTGCATCGCGACCTTGTGAGTCTGACCCCTCAAATTCGTCATAGCCAGGCACTAACTGTAGATAGACATAGCTCCCTTCAACAGACGCAAATAACCAAAGAGGTGATGACGAAGATATCACGGAAGGAGGCCGAAATCGCAAAGTCCATTACAGCGACAGACAAGCAGCTGGCTGAGGCAAATGCCAAGCTCGGAGCACTTTGCCTCGCTAAACAAGCGCAGGACGAGACGGAAGCCGACCGAGCTAGTGCGATCAGCCAGGTAGCTGTCGAGCAGACTGTTTTAAGGGAATCGCGCACATTGCTCGACGAACTACTCTCAGGTATCCATACCGCAGCTGCGAATGCCCGGAAAGACCAGGCTCAGGTGGTCAACAACTTTGGAAGCCAGAATGGAGGCATGCAGATCGGAGTCCTCAATGGGACGATGAGTGGCATTACATTTGGGAAGAAATAGCTGATGCCAGTGTCTTCTGCTAGCGTCTCTGGGCCCGGATGACTCTCCGATGATCAGCGGGCCGGCCTCTGCCCACAACCTTAATGTCTATCTCGTGGCTTTGCTAGTCGTCGGTGCGGACGAAGCGACATAAAATCGCAGTTAAATCGTTAGTCGTGCCGGACGGCTGGTAAAGTGTGGCGGCTACTGATCGAGGCTTTGGGTTGGGGACGGATGTCGTGGAAGAGAAGTTCAGAACGGTCGCGGGAATGGTGTAACCGCCATATCGTGGTACCGTGACCTCTGTATTCCCGGTCGGAGTAAGAATAGCAGTTACTAAAGCGTCAGGAATGTATGGCAAATTGGGAGACCAGAACACCGTGATGGGCGATGAAGTTCGAATGTGGGGTCGAGCAGCTGAGTCCAGGGCGGCTATTCTTCGGCTAAAACGTCGATCTGACGCAGCCGTCTCTGGCCAGCTTCAGTCTCGTCGGCACAAGGATTCGCATGTGTGCCGCCTCAAGAGTTACGCTATAGTAGACCTGGATATTGATGTTAGCCAGTGGTATAACGAGGATGATCTCGATTACCTGACCCCTGATGCGGGTGTGTTTGACAACCGCGGCACGAGCCCGGCCTACCCGAGTCAGCCACAGAGACCCAGGCCCGGACTACCACTCCTCAAGTTGGTCGACTGGGACCCAAACCTGCCATACGACGAATCTCCGCCCACATGCATCCATTACTCTATTGAGTGGAAGCTGTTGTTGAAGAAAGGAAGACTCTCAAAGCTTACAAATGATACGGAAGAGAACCTTGTGCTAGCGGCTGGTGCGTTTTGGGACCAGACTTTGAAGTCGATGCTACAGCAGCTTTTGACGAAAAAGACGCCGCGATATAAGTGCTACGAACCAGACGAGACGAACGTTGTTGTATCCGTCACCGACCGCTCCGAACGAGACCTAACAAAGCGTTTCGACGAACTAGACATCGATTGGGGAGTCGTGGAGATTGGGGAGTCGTAAAGGAACAGCTGATGGCCTGGAGTCATCTTCTCTGTGAGGGGAAGAGACTGAGGGTCGACATCTCGTTCGTTTGCAAGGAGGCAACTCCACCGGCTGCTGTAAGGACGCGACAGAGCACGAGGTGAGGAGGGGTTACGGCTTTGCAACTTGCCGAAAGGGCCGAACTCCTTGATGAACAGGAAGCCTCAGGCATGACCACTGTCTTGAAGGAAGTCTACAGCCTTATGCGGTGCACCGGGCCTCCATGCCAAGGACCTTGATTCAGCAGCTAAAGCGGGATCCGCTGGTTAAGGCTGTGCGGTGTTAGTGGAGTTCCTTAACTGTGACTGATTCAGTCTTTGTCTTTGCTCGTCGTCCACATCCAATCTCCCCGTCGCCATTGCGTATTTGATGGTTGCCCGGACTGCTTTCATGTCTGGCGACCACTCCTTTGGGTCGGATGCCGCTTTCCCTCCCAGGTAGAACGAGAGGCTCCCTCGTCTTGCCACTGTGCACTGCAGCATGTCTTCCCTCAGTGCTGCCCATCTCACGCATCGCAACAGAAAATGTTCCACTGTTTCCCTCGCTCGGCCGCAGGGACAAAGGTCGGACTCGACTGCTCCAATCCTGCTCAGAAAGCCGTTCAGCCTCGCCATTCCGGTTCGGAGTTGTGCCAAGATACAGGCCTCTCTTCGCTTCAGCTGATCATAGAGATCGTGAGTGTGCTTGCCAGGTAGTGCTGTTGGAACCTGCAGGGCGACGACCGCTGAGATATGCGCTGGAAGAAGCTATTCCCAGTCAAAGCAATGGATTGAATTTTTAAGGTGGTCAAAGTGATTGATTGACCATGCTGTTGATGGGCATGGGAGAGGACTAAGTATGTAAGGAAGAGGGGTTGCGGTGCTGGCACCAATCAACCACCGAGGTCCGTTGAATGCAGCCATCAAGGCGGCTTCGTTCCGACAAGTGCCACGTCCATAGCCTTTGAGAACTTGCCCACGCCTTCAGGAAGAGCTCTCCCCTGTCGTTGTTTGGCCAATGCCAGGCTGATTTGCGGTGGACTTGGCCTGGGCCATTTGGATGTTGGGTGTACTTCCTTGCCTTGTGGCCCTTTGCGCTGCCACCTTGGCCTCCGATCCCAACGCGAAGTTGGCTTCCGCTGGTATCTACAGGAAGTCGACTGAGTTCCCTCTTTGTTGATGTAGTCTAACCAACTTATATATCTGCCGTATAATGCCTTGGCCGGACTGTACCGTGGTCGTCTGATTGCTGCTAGCGCCCACTGGCTCCTGGTGATGATGGTGATGTTTCTGTGGCAGACGCTGGCCGGTAAATTCTCCAAGGCCATTGAGATGGCCGCTAGCCCTGCTGTGTAGGGGTTGTGTTCCTCCCTCCTCCCAAGAGTCACAGCATAGCTTGTTACAGGCTCGCTGGTCCTGTTGAAGAGAGTGTCTCGAGCGATGCCGCCCATACCGACAATATCTTTCTTCACCGACGAGCTGGTTGCAACCACGATGCCCGTAGCTTTGCTGGCCATCTCGGCCGCCTTCCCTCGATCGGTTTCGAGCGTCGGCTGCAGGTGAGGTTCCCAGGGTGTAACGGTGTATTCCTGGATTTTCTCCATTTGGTCGACTTTTACTCCTTCCACCGCACAGGCAATCTTCTGAAGTGGTGAGACGAATTGCACTGTTGTTCGGATCTTCCTTGAGGCGAGAGGATCAGTCTCGGGCAGTGTGTGGATGTTGATCCATAGCCTGGCTGCCGCCCGGGCATGTCGTTCTCGTATAGGGAGAATGCTCGCTTCGACTTCTGCCACGGCCGCTGCCACGGTTCGGCAGGCTCCCGTGATGGCCAGGGCCCCGATCTTCTGCGCCCTGTTCAGCCAGCTCAGTGCCCTCTCCCCGCAGGCATGCATCCAGACGCTGGCAGCGTAGTCCATAACAGGGGCCACTGTCGCCACAAACGGTTGTCTTGCAATTTGCGGGGAAAGCATCTTCAGCCTCCTCAGGGCCAGGGCGGCCGTGAGACCCTTGGCTGCCGTCCTGGCAAGTGTTGCTTGTGGCGGAGTTCGCAGTCCATGATGACCCCCAGAATCTTCGCACTTTCCTTTGGTTTGACCGCGTCCCCTTTGACTATGAACGGCGTTTCTGAAGATCTCGTGAAGTGTACAATGGCTGTCTTTTCGCCCTCGAACTGGGCGCCGCTTCGTCTTTCCCAATCCAGGGCACTGTCTATGATGGCCTGGATGCCTGCGCGGTTCGCCTCTGCTGTTGGGCCGACAACCCAGGCTGTGTTGTCGTCCACAAAAGCGATTGAGCCTCCGTTCGCGTTGATTTTGTGCGACGCGGCGCCATGGCTGAGCATAGAACTGCTCGCAGCTTGGTTCGCCACGTGCCGACAAGAATGTTGCACCAATCGCAGCTTGCGGAAAAACAGAATTCACGTGAGGGATCTGAGCTTGCTGCCTGAGATCTCGAGAGGCTTGAGGCTCTGTGTGACACTGCATGCATGACCATGATGGGCGGCCTCAGCGCCCAAGCTAAGATAGGTACAGTACCTGAAGGTCCGTGAGGCAGCCTCGAGCAGTCAGCAGATTGAACCTACTCACGCCCAGCAGCGAAAACTACCTACCTACCTTACCTAATGAACGCAATGTCGGCTCTATGTGACGTCTGTCTTCGAATGTTTCGCGCCGGCACTAGCCCCCATGGTATGGCACGCGTAGAACTAGCCACAGAGACGTCTCCATCGAGCTACTTCGTCTCCGAATCATTCACTCACCACCTCTCGCCTCAAAGTTTGCAAGCCTCGGAGGAGGGAGGATGTTACGTATGCATACTGCTTCTCAAGTTTTTATTGTCCGAGGCGGATGCGGATGGCACAGCACTTCAGGCGCGTGTTGTCAACGCAACTTTCACACACTACACGTTTGTGTGCACGGCCGACGGCGAGAACCGATACTACGCTCCTTTTTACATGTCCCTTATGTGCTTCGGCAGCTGTGGAATGCGATTACGGCGCTCCGCGTTTCAGGTATGAGGACCTGGTTGAACTGACAGACAGGTCGGGAACTACTCGCTAACAGCCATATTCATGACCAGAATGGGCGGGCTCGCTGGAACTCAAGGAACCCGCCGGCCACACCCTCTCGAAAAAGGGCTGGATACAAGTGACGGAATGGATTTCGGAATGCAACAAATCCCATGCAAGATGTGCCGCAGCCAAAAACTCGCCCCGCTGGTACCCGACACGCCTGATCGATCTTGGATCACGGGTCTCGCCGAACCTACATCTCATCGAAACCAGTCGAACCACTCCACTAGGCGCATATGGAACTCTCAGCTACTGCTGGGGCACGGCCGCCACCGTGAAGCTGACTTGCAATACGCTGGGGGAGTTTCTCGCTCGTTTGCCCGTATCGACGCTCCCAAAAACATTCCAGGACGCGATAAGTGTTGCGAGACGGCTTGGCCTCCGCTATCTCTGGATTGACTCGCTCTGCATTATCCAGGACTCCCCCGGGGACTGGCTCGCGGAATCATCAGCCATGGGCCAGGTCTACCAAAACGGGCTGTTCAACATTGCTGCAACCGCGTCGTCGGATAGCACCGGAGGGCTCTTCTTTGACCGAGATCCCCGGAGTGTGCGGCCCGCCATTGTCGCGACAAACTGGAGTGATTGCCCTTCGTCGACGTACGTGGTGGCCAATCGGGACACGTGGGTAGACGGGGTTTCCAACGCTGTGCTCAACACGCGAGGCTGGGTCTTGCAGGAACGCTGTCTGTCTCCCAGGATCATCCATTTTGGCTCCGATCAGCTGTACTGGGAGTGTCTCGAGCTGCAGGCCTGCGAGGCCTTCCCAACAGGTTTGCCGGCTACTATGCGTCGCAATAGGCTGGAGCTCCCAAAGGAGGGCAAGAATATCAATATCCTTGACGAAGAGTTTCCACCGAAGTGGCAGCAATCCCCCCTTCCAAAGTTCGATGGCTATCGCGCCTGGAAGCGGCTTATCGAGACATACTCCCGCACCCAGCTGAGCCATGCCACGGACAAGCTGAATGCCATTTCGGCGCTGGCAAAAGGCGCTCGCCTTACTCTGCAGGACGAATACCTAGCTGGTTTATGGAGACAATCCTTGGGATGGGAGCTTGCCTGGACTGCCACTAAACAAACCAGTCATACCAGATCAAGTGCGTATCGTCCTCCCACATGGTCATGGGCGTCTATCGACGGAGAGATACGCTACACCGACTACGGAGACGACGAATCTCTTCTGGTCAACATCCTTGAAGCTGAAATCACGCCGGCAGGTCTAGATACCACCGGTGCCGTCAGTGGTGGCTTTGTTCGCCCGAGAGGTTTCTTGTACCCCATCTTGCTCGCTCGAACTGGTTTTTGCGGTGAATTCAGCTCTTTTCTTATCGGTGGGCTGGAGAGGTGGGTAGATGTCAACTTTTACCTGGACATCGACATACCCGCCTTCCTCGCCAGCGGTGTACTGGAAGACTGTTACATTCTGCCCCACCACTCCGAAACGTATCAAGGCCCAGATAGCTATCAGATGACGGCGTTGTTACTCAGATATGACCGTACGTCCGGTACATATACGCGACACGGGATCGTTGAGCTGTTCAGATAACTTGGACCGTGCAGCGAAGTGCACTGCGAGTGCACTCTCAACGTTCAAGATCTGGAGCGAGCCTGGCTGAGGTGCGGTCCCAGCATTTCATGTGAAGCGTTCAGCGTGGATCATGGCGCCACGATTACCCTGGTTTGAAAGCTCGGTTGTGTAAGGTGTCGGAGCATTGTTGAGATGAACAAGCTAGGTTTTCCAAACTAGCTGACTACCTGTAGATCAACCAAATGATTTATTTGGCCCTGACCTCATACAGCTTGGCGTGCCTTCTTCCACGCATCAAACTGTCATGGCGGAAAGTCTGCTTCAGGTCCGCCATAGCCGGGATATCAACAGGAAGCGCCGCCTGAAGTCCACAAAGCCCGCACAAGCCGTTCTTGCGGAACTACTCTCGTCCATAGGCCCATTAAGATGTCGAGAAGGGTAAAGATAGAGAGTAAAAGGCGAAGGGGTTTGCCTAGACATTACAGGCCAGATTTCCTTCACCCTTGGACAGGCAACGAAATAAGCCAATAACATTATTATTCCCACACCGCTGTGCCCTAGGGCGTGCCGGACCTTCAACAACTTACTATACAGGAAAACCGCGCCCTC